GTAAACCGCTTAGAGAGGCCTGAAAGGCCTATGAAGCGGTATATAAGTCTACTGCTATTGCTATTGCTATCTTAAAATATAAATATCTCCTTCAGATAATCTATTTGTTATCAAGAAACAAATCCTTAAAGTCTTGTTGTTTGGTCCTGATCAGAAAAAGTCATTAAGGGTTATCAAATAAAACAACATATCCATTTTAATCTTGATAAAATAAACCAGCATCATATTCCTTCCTTTATTTTTAATAATCTTAATCTTTACTTCCTTCAAATAATGATTTGGAATTTGATTTCTTTCCATTTCTTCTTTGTCCCTTCTCACAAAATTCTTTAAAACTTCAAAAAAAGGTCTCTTTTGTAAAACCCAAGATATGAAAACTATAGTTTGTTATTTGTATATCCTTTTTAAGACATCAGCTGGGTTTTTCTTTTCCGTGTTCATTGTAATATTTTTTTCCATCTCATTCTTGTAGCCTGTAATTTGGAAATTCATTTTCAACTCAGTCTCAATCTTGTCAGTTAAAACTTGTTGCTCTTCAATCTATTAAAAAATCTATCCATAGAGGCAGACACTCTTACAGTTAGTGACACAGCTTTGTTCTTTGCGATTGCTTTTTAATTTCTTTATCATACTGTAAGTTTTCTGGAGAACACTAAAAACAACTTATTGTATTAAAAATAATATAAATAACTACATTTCAAGTTGTAGATTATTTGTTAAGTTCAGCACTCCATAAATAGTCCGTCGTTCTTATCAATAAAGAGAAAGATCTTCCTCCATAACTCATTAGGAAGGATCACTAATGGAGGACTCTCAGATTGTGACTCTTGGAATTTGTGAAGAAACAAACTTAATAGAACTCAATAGCATATGTTTTGATGTTCTCGGGACCATTTCCAATACATTTCACCTTATAGAGTGGCTGCATTTGAAAGTTAATGGAAATTCACAAGAGAATGTTTTCAGTCTGTTCTACTGCTTGGAACCTGTTTTCTGAATTGAAGGAGGACGTCAAACATGTGCATTTCTAAGGAAGCAATCCAGTAAAATATTCTATTTGCGTCTATATGCCCATCTACCACATAATGTCCAAAGCTTTCCTCGATGCTACTGTTGATATGAATGGAAAGATTGAAACTCTCCTTGTTTTTCCAACTCTCCCCTTATAGTTGGATGGTGACTGTTACTGCAAACTTAATGTTTGTGGAGGTCCTTGTGATACTTGTGAAGCTGGTTATTATGGCCTGGAAACTAAAAATTATTTTGGATGTCAAGGTACAGTATGGCTTTTTAAAAGCAACACAGAATAATACATTTATGAAAATATTGTTTATGTATTATTGCTATATAACAGCTTTGTTCACAAACATTTTCGAATGTATCTTGTACTTATACCATTTTGAGCCTTCCAAGTAAAATCTAGGAGGTTAATCCATCTTAATCAACTTCAGTTAGGGTAGTGAATAGGCATTTCAAGAGAGGCCAGGGCAAGACAGAACAAGCATCAAACAAAGCTCCCATTCATAGATTGGCTATAGTGTAATACAATCAAACTCATTTATAATTGTAGCTTTTGATAAATATTTTGCTTAAGTAAGACATATTTTAAAATAGATGGCCAAGATAATAAATATTCAGTGTTTTGCAAAATATTTTAAACTTTAGTATGAGAATAATTTAGAAGATAATGGCATCTTTCTTCAGTAGTGACCCTCATGAAAAGATAGACAACCTGTATTGGAAGTGCCGGATGATCCAGACTTCTTATAAATGAGATGGTCTTCAACCAGAGGTGATATTCTGCCAGTTTGCCCCAGTTTGGGCGAACCAGTAGTGGCGGTGGTGGGAGGCTTTGCCCACCTGTACAGATGTTATCATGGACGCTCTGCATATGCACAGAAAGTTCTATGCATGTGCTGAAGCGCTGCGCATGCACACTCCCAGTTCCGAAACTGTAGCCAAGATAAAAGGATTTCATGCCTGTCTTCAATGTTCCCTCTCATTCTGTGATTGAAAAACATGTTATCTTTCTTTCTATAGAAACCTATAGTACTTCTAATAGTGTGTTGTGTTTGTTCTCTGATCCAAAGGTAATTTGATTCTATTTTTCACTGGCAGGATGCAAATGTGATGTGGGAGGCTCTGTAAGTCATGTCTGCAATGACCTGACAGGGGACTGCCAGTGCAGAAGGCACATAATTGGGAAAACTTGTATGGAGTAAGTAAAATGGGAAGACTTGTTTTGTGGCATCCCTCTTCAGTTATGCAAAGCAGGAAAATCACAAGCCACCTGTTTTCCTTCATATTGCAACAAACCCACAAGGTTTAAGGAAAGAAAAACAGAATAACTACAAAAGTGTATTTTGCTAGGCATTATTAGACATTTTCTCTCTAGAAGCAAGCTTCATGATTTATAATTTAGTATGAAATGAGCTGTGGTTACATACAAAAATACAATATTTAAGTAGCAATAGCACTTAGAATTATATACCTCTTCATACTGTTTTATATCCCTCTCTAAGCGGTTTACAGAGTCAGCACATTGCCCTTAAAAATCTGGGTCCTCATTTTACAATCCTCGGGAAGATGGAACCTGAGTCAACCTTGAGCCAGTGCGAATTGAACTGCTGAATTGTTGGCAGTTGGCAGTCAGCAGAAGTAGCCTGCAGTACTGCATTCTAACCACTGTGCCTGTACTATGTTCCTAGATGGATTTCATGAGCTGCACCTCAGTTGTAAATTTCACCCAACAAACTGCCCATTTGCTCCTTTCTTTTTAGTTTTGCTTTTGGTGAAGGATGAGATTAATGCTAATCCTGATAGTTTGCTTGTAAGGGCTGTGCTATTTCTCTTTTTATATTAACTATGTACTTAAATATTCATGTGTTATAGCATGATTTGAATTTTGGATTATTTTGAAGTTATTTTTAAAAGACAAAGCAGGAAATATGCTACTTGAAAAAAATGATAAAATATATTGTCGATGTTAAGAAAATTAAAGCATCATGTATAGGGGCAGTGTACTTTGCTAGGGATCCTATGAACAGGAGGAAAATTATTGTCTTAAATGCAGATTTTCCAATGGCTTGTGAAAAACAGTAGGTTAAACAAACATTTGACTCAGTAGAGTCTTATGTTAATATATAGCACATTAATATTTAAAAAGAAAGCAAGACATTGTTTATATCTTATTTATGAAAGGGCTGAAAAGAATTATTACCTACCTGATTTACATCACATGAAGTTTGAAATTGAGGATGGTACGTCTCCTAATGGAAGAGAAGTCCGGTTTGGTTATAATCCTCAAGAATTTCCTGGTTTCAGTTGGAGAGGTTATGTGCCGATGTCTTCAATACAGGCATGTACTTTACTTTGGTCCAGATATGTTGTGTGAATTAATCCTGGTTTGATTGCACCATCTCTTTAATCCTACTGGAATTGTTTTCACAGATTTAAATCTCTTTAGTTTTGCCTATTCCCTGTTTAGATTTGTTGGTTCATGTCATCTATCAAGACAGGCAAGACAGTAGTTTTGATCTAACACATTTGAAGTGAACAAGGTTAGGAAAAACTGTTAGGTGGTGAAAGAGGAGATGGAAAACACAGCATTCCTCAATAAAATTTGGTCTCTTTATTATACTGTTTGCAGAAAGATCTAAATGTTGATTCCAGAGGTGGGTTGCTGCCAGTTTGGCCTAGATTGGCCAAACCAGTAGTAGTGGTGGTGGGAGTCTCCACTCACTCTCCCAGACACAGAAGCGCAGAAGTGTTGTGCGCGGGCAGGAGCACACCTGAACTGGTAGTAAAAAAATTAGCAACCCACCTCTGGATGATTCCATCTAATTTTCTTAGCAGTAATTAAGACATCCTGGAATGGCAGATTGATATATACCTATAACACTTTTTAACAAGTTAGGTGCTCAGGCTTTAAAGAAACCTTGGTTCTTCTACACTACAGCCATATAGAAATATTTGACAACGTGCCTTTTTTCAGCAGCAGTGTTGGGAACTAATAGAATTCAACCCACTAAGAGTAGTTGTGTGTTACAAAACCTGCATTTTTATATGAAAAACATATAGCTAGTATAATAACAAAAAAGGAGAAATATATTCAGAAATTAAATTACCTGCAGGTTTTGATTCGTTAATTGAATTCCTTTTAGTGGTATCTATTTATTTAACATTGGGATTTAGCATTAGATATCCTTGTTTGCCCAAACACCAATTAAAATGTAATTTAAAAGTATGGTCAAATTGAAAGCAGCTTGTTGACAACACTGGGAATTATTCTTGGTTATTTTTTGTGGCATTGATTTATGAGACATGAGACCACAGCCCATCTGCTTTCACTCTACTGGTCAACCTCATATTTGAAAATAAGAACAGTGAGAGTAGGATTAACTTATTTGTAGACTTCTGAGAAAAAATTGAGGTAATGCTGTGTTTTCATCTCAAATATACCTGAAATAAAATTGTTACATTTCTATGAACATAATAAAAAGAATGATTTTGAAGAAAATGATTGTCTTCAAACAATTATAAAAAGAGGCATAATGCATGGAACACTTTCTTGCATTGTTAATAATAGTGAGCTATAACACAATATTAATATATTAAAGGGGGAAACACCCTATTATTCAAATATCTAATATAAAATTGGCCAGAGAATGGCCATAATACAAAGTATATAATATTTGATTGTTCGAATGCAACATTTCACCAAATTAGTATCAAAGGTAATTGGATAACACTACATGATACAACAGTCCCTCACTTATTCACTTGGCAATCATACTAGAAATGAAAATCCTGAATTCAGTCAGGTTTATCTCAGGAAGATGAATATAAGAAAGTAGCCTTGGAGATGAGCCTCAGACCATTGGCAAATAAGGCATTATATCTAAACATATCATATATACTTGATTGGGTTTCATTGGGAAATATTTTATTCTTTTTGGACCTAGAGTAAAGTCTACCCAGAGTGTTGACTTTTCTAATGTTTCTAGATGTTTCTTATCTTTCGGTGGTAGTATTAAGTAATTTGCTTTCCTGTCCTCTTCTTTGCTTCTTATTTTACCAGCCAGAGGTGATAGTTCCTGTCACTGTGACTTCTCCTAAGCTCTTCCATCTAGTACTGCACTATGTCAGCTTGGTTTCAAAACACTCTAAAGGGAAGATCTCAATTGCTGAGGGAAAGCATTTTGATCCTAATAACACTTGTAAGTGAATTACATTTCTTGCTAGGTTTGCCTGTCTTCTTTCTTCCTTACTTCAGAAAAGGCTTCTTTCTCTATGTATTCAGCTGCATGTCTGTATCTATTTATAGAGAGAGAAAGAAAGAGGTTTTTTTTCCCCCTGATAGACATTGAATATTTTGCTTGCATGGCTTACCCTTTTGACACTTTATGGCTGTCTATCTTTTTCTTGTTTTATTAACTTCCATTTTACAGAATGAAGTCAGGATAACTTTGAGTGTGAAGAAACCAAAACCCTATTTATTTCATGTTATCTTGAGGTATATAAATCCTGGTACTGCAATAGTATCTGGCCACATAACAGCTTATCAGTCTCGGACCCTAAAAGGTAGGTAAGCAGAACGGATGCAATGAAATTCTGTGCAATTCAGAGTGTATTTATATTGATAGGTGTTGTATCAGCCATGGATTTTCTTTTCTGCATGCACATTGTATTATTTTCCCCCCACATGGAGACTGTGCTTGTGTAACACATTTAATCAGTTTTCTTAAATACCATGAGTTGCTTGCTTTTAACACCATATATTTCATTAGTGGTTATTGTCCTTTTCTGAGCCTGTCTGTGTGCATTTGACTTAATACATTATGCCAGCCTATTTACATAGTTCAACATAGAATCTAACCTCAGAAAATAGGATAATTCAGTTATTAGTTAAGTGTTTTATGTGATCATAAATACACTATATTGCCAAAAGTATTCGCTCACCCATCCAAATAATCAGAATCAGGTGTTCCAATCACTTCCATGGCCACAGGTGTA